ACGGCTGAAAGGGCGAGCATGTTTGATGGGACGGGGATTCGAACCCGCGACCCTCAGACTGCGAGTCGAGCGCCTTATCCACCTGGCCATGCCGAGCCCATTAATAGTGATAGAGAATATGGTGAACAGCAGTTCTTGATAACTGATGATTACTGAGGATAATCACTGACAGCTAATACTCATTTTTAATAGATGTCAATAATTGATAACTAAGAAATAGTACTAAGTATTTATCGTTAAATTAAATAACTGAGAGTCATCAATGACAACCGAGTACAGACTGACGTCACTGATAGCTAATTATAGTCTGACGTCACTGATAGCTGATTATAATCTGATGTCTCTCAGAGCTGATTACAGCCGAATATACTCCAACGTCACTCAGAGTTAGTTACAACCGAATACAGTTGAATTTCAATGATAACTGACTATAATGGAATATAGTCTGATGTTACTTATAGCCGATTACAAGCGAGTATAATCTGATATCACTGTGTAAGGAAATTTGGAAATATATCAAATTAAGAATTTTGGATATGTACATTTGTTTAAGAACTAGTGGATATTAATATTTGGAAAAAAGGCGTTTTTTCTTTATTCTTTTACAATTACACTAAAACTGAAAGAAATTATTACAATAGCTACAATTTACTATAAACTATCAACTTTTCAACGCATTTAATTAAACTCAATATAAGTTAAATAAAAATGAATAGCATGTAAAATAGCATTAAATCTAAAATTAAAAACAGAGGATATTCAGAAAAGATAAATTGTAATTTAAATAAGTTCAAATAGATCTAACTGAAACAAAAACAAACCAGACAAACCTCAAATTTTAAAAGAATATATTGGTTGAAGAAAAATACATTATCGAAAAAACTCGTATATTAGAAATCAATGTTTTTAACTGAGAAGAGAAGCTGAAGAACAGATGGACGACGAGTCTTTGCCCGGCATAGCCAGGTGGTTATGGAATATTCGAAAGGTTCTATTGTGTTCTTTGAACTAATTTTAGACAGTATAAGCCAGGTACATTGTTGAATTATTGTATAAAAATACTACTCTTATTCACCATGGCACGAGTTAATCCTTTGGTAGAGCTCTGGATTTCGAAGGTGGCGAGCTGCGTTCGAATCTGTGTGATTCCACAATATGTTCTTATTGCTTTACATTATGCGTGTATTATACGAATGCCACTCAATCCCCCAATAAGAATCGTGCGTGGTAGGGTGCTGCTAACTGGCAGCCTTCCCTCTGGTCAGTAGTTCATAACTATAGATGGCAGCAAATAGTCTTATTAGGTTTGTCAATAATACAAATTACAAATCCAATATTGTGAGAGGGAAACCATTTTTTAGTGTTGCTCTTATTTTTACTTAGGATAAGGTCTTATCTGGCAGAAGGCAATCTAGAACTGATTACTGGACTAAAGTATCTTTTAAGCTAAAAAAAGACACTTCTCATTGAGTCACTGCTTACTGTTAACCTGGCCAAAGGAAAAGCAAACACTGAAGGCAATAGGAATAAAGCCTAATAAATTCAGGACGTCCTTCATGAAAGTGAAAATATATGCCACTTTCCATTGTTCAAATCTTTACATTGTTACCTGTGGAGACTTTTTATATGTTAAACATTAACCTCTTCAATAAATTATTTGATTTTTTTTATCAGTATTTGGGTTTTAAAACTGTTTCCATGAGGGAATGGAGGCTGTCTTTAAGGTAGGTCAAAATCTTTTCAAACAATTCTATAAATGAAGTCGCGTTCACCCTAGGTGAGGCACTTATCCCACTGTAAACCTTCGTTTTTATATTTTAAAAATGTATGAAAAGTGGCTAGAGTACTACTATGCATTCTAAATGGCAATTGCTTTGAATTCATAAAGGCTTCTGATAATATTTAAACAGTCTGATTGGCTAGAGTCATCGAGCTCAACCTGCCAGTAGCCTGTGCTGCTAGGTGTAAAGAGTGCTTGTACTATGATGTCCAAAAACTTTATCTCTGCTAGGGAAATAGTAGACATCCATCTGTTGTTTCGATATCTGAATTATTTTTAAATATATTCTTATGAGCTTGTCTATTCTATAAATAGTAAATCATTCTTTATCATGAAGCGTTTTATATTCTTCACTTCTTTATGAAAATAATCATAAGTACTTGTAATTATAAAAGCTCGATGGACTAATATTTTCACAAGGTTATCTTTGTAGTTATTTGGAATAAAGTCAGCAAAATCATAGTCCCCGAAAAGTTGTTTTTTCTTTACAAAAACTTCACAGCCCAATATTCCCTTATTATTACGGATTAAAACACCCAAGAAAGCAACTTGTTGATTTTATGATGCTCTACAGTGAACTTTATATTATTACGTCTACTGTTCAGATCCTCACAGAACTAATTTACATATTCCACTTCGCTAAAAATGAAAAAAAGCATTATCCACGTTCCTTCGATAGTAAACAGGTTTGAAACTCTTTGCACATTCGTTCAACTGTTGTTTTTCGTGGTAGATTAGGTAATGATGGAGTTAATCTGGATTCCATTTCAACTCCATCAATTCGGTCATAGATGTTACCATAAAAAAGTGACTCCTTGGTAGAAAATTCTAATAGTTGTTGAAAAACTGGCTTGGGGAATCTCATTACATTATTATCATATTCATAAACTACATTTGCCGCCAGCTGTAATGTCTCCTTCATAGATAAAGTTTCAATGTCTAAACTAATACACAATATATTTCTATAAATTTTTTAGATCCTACACTTCACTGGAAAACATAAAACTATCTTATGAGAAAACGGATCTAAAAATTTCACTAAAAAACATGTTAATTCATGTAAATACCTCCATTTAATACAGCAGATCTAACTGGAAAGTCTTCATTATGAATATTTGGACTACCATATAACATACAAGAATGGTATCCAGAAGGTTTAATCTTAAGATATTCATCTTTGGTCAGTAAGTTATTTCTTTTTTGTTTCAGTATAAAAGCCTTGAAAATATACTTTCTCTGGTTTTGATAGAATCGCTTTCGAATTTTATAAATTTATTACTATAACTCAAAATGTATTTATAGAAGGTAACCAGATATAACCAGGTAAACTTAATTAAGATGATAACACCATTCCCTTTATCAGGTGTCATTAATATAAACTTTTAATTTTCTGTGGCATCATACTCCACCTTATTAATATCAATATATTTATAAATATAGTTATTTAAAGCCAATGAACTTATACCACTAATGAGTTCTAACAGTACCATCCAATTAATTTCTACAATCCCAGGTTTGTTGCTAAGAGACACGTCTGAGTAAAAAATTCGAAGATGAACAAGTAACTTTCACAATTGGCTTTAGCAGATAGTATGACAAATTTTAAACCCTCTAACAACACTTTCTTTTCTGGTGCATCTAACGTATAATTGGACAAATTACACATGACTTCATCTGGATAATTAGTAAAACTATTATAACATTGTTGCTTTCTCAACTGATTTAATTTATTCAGCTTTTTAAAATAAATATTTGTTATTTTGTGTACACGTCCAATTATATAAATTAAAATAATCAGACTAACAGACCTGTTGAAAAATCAAACAAGCCTTTTCAAATTGACGTCCAAGGGATTTACATGCCATATTTTTTACTTAATTTTAAACTTTAATAAGTATTTTCTACATTGTTGAAAATTGTGTAGTATACTAAACTGCCTAACAGGAACTTTAAACTTACCAAATTTCGGGAAGAACCTGTAGAATTATAAAACAATCCAAAAATGTACAAGGTAACTGATTTTTACAAAATTTCACATAAAATTATTCAGCCTCTCTTAGTTGCGATAACACCGAAACTCCACATCTATTTTAACAACAGTAGAGATAGGCACATGTTTTGACTATAAGAAAAATTATAACCCATGCTATGTACCACAATTTACATCATAATCACAGAAAAACTTAAACAAGAAAAGATACATATTCAAATATACACCTGGG